CATTTGCTGCTATGGGTAAGGAAAAAAACAACTGGATGGATGATCAGATCCTTAAATCAAATCCTCAGCAGTTAAACTTTCTTCCTTTCTCCATAGGTCGCCTGAATGTGAAGAATGAGGAGTTAGATGCCATGATCAAGGAGGCCAGTGGCCCCATTAACTTCACTGTCTTCCTCACCATGTTTGGAGAGAAGCTGAAGGGTGAGAGAGTCTCTTGTTCTTCTCAGTCTTGTTCTATATGACAGATAACCTGTTCCAGCATCTCACTAGTCTTCCTGTCTTGTCTCATCAGGTGCTGATCCCGAGGACGTCATTATTGGTGCCTTCAAAGTTTTGGACCCCGAGGGCAAGGGGAATGTCAAGAAGAAATTGTGAGTGTTTACATCCCATTTCACTTCCAGCAGAAGCATTGAATCTGTTCAGACCTAATTCTAAAATGGCTGTTACTAGGTTCCCATGATCTCCTCCTCTGTGTTGCAGGCACTTTGCAGTATTCCCCCTGATTAATTGCTTAAGCAACCCATATCTTGCCATTAAATTATATTCTAGACTAGTCAGTTGGAAAACTGTGCTTCACTATGGAACTGGAACAGCAGTAGGTAGCATTCTTCGCCATCACGCTCCATTATCCTGTAGCTGTAAAAGGCAGCAGCAGACACTGTCTTCTTGAGAAGAACCTTGGTGTTTGGGTCGCACTGGGGTATATTAATATAATAGCCATCTTCTCCATGGCAGAACATCAGAGGGTACTGGAGAACATCATAGGCACGGTGCGTCTCACTGATTCGTAACAACCTGTTGTCTCTGTTGTGGAGAACGATATCTCTCTTCTCAAAATTCTGGCCGACAATGAGAACAGCCACTTCTGTAGTCGTGGGGGCATTGAAACAACCTCAGTGCTCTCCAGAAGGCTTCCTATTGGCATTAATCACCACTTGGAAGTCCTTGTGGCCTTTAGGAAGAGAATCAACAGCAGCCTTAAGTTCCAGAATATACTTGTGTTCATGCAGCAACTTCTGCAGTTGGCTAACCAGTTGTGGATTAAAGCCTGGGTAGATTCCACAACGGATGTCCCTCTCATTGTCATCATCACCAACAAAGTATATCTGGAGAAATGAAGCCTTCTGCTGAGGTCCCACCATGATACTCCCTATCCCATGGTAGACCTGCCCCTGCCCTTTGAATGTTGCCATAAAATTTCCCTCCTTCACCTCTCTGGCTCCAAAGGATGTCATTTGGAAGCACCCGTTGTACTTCTGGACAGCAGAAAGAAAGTGCTTTGGGAGGGAAGGAGCCAATGTCACGACGATACGGACATGCGGTCTCGATGCTCTGAGACCACAGCTGATACTTTTGCCGCTAGGTGGTCCAATCGGACCTAAACCGTCCCGAAGAGACAGTGAACAGGAAGAATACGTCTTGCTGACCTCAGGGACATCGCAAAGTCCCTGGTCGATGCAAGAGAAGTTCTTCAAGCCGGCGACAAAAAATCCAGCCAAGGCTGACGAAGTCGAGGCGGCTCCAAAATGGAAGGATATGGAAAGAGAAAGTGTTTCCACCTGGTGAGGAACTTTTACTGTTTTAAAAAGAGACTGCCTATAAAAAACTTAAAATTAATTTANAAGAAGCCACACTCCACTTCTATTTTCAGGGCAAAGCCACCGACCCTCCGGGCATTGAGAACTGCCTGTGGGGTTGCAAACATTGTGAGATCAGCAGCGGTCGAGGTTATATGTTGATGCCTGCAGAAGCTTGAGCTAATCTTAGGGATACTCATGCCAGCCATTTGGCTGGATTCTCCATGAAAAGATCTTCTATGGAAGACACGCCTTAGGACAGCTTGCCTCTTATATTGGGTCCTTTGAGGGCCTCTATCAGGCCTGCTTAAACCTGGATGCAGGTTCTAATTCTGCAAACCAGGGTTTCCCAACCTTGGTGACTTTAACTCTCAGAATTCCCCAGCCAGCTTCAAATTCTAGGAGTTGAAATCCATGCATTAAAGTCACCAAGGTTGGGAAACCCTGCTGCAAACAGTCCCAGCCAACAAAAGAAGATTATTTTAAAAAACAAACAAATTTTAAAATAATTCTCTCTTTTATTTCCAAAGGTGCAACCATTTAAATTGAATTATTAATAAAATATAAAAACAATTACAATATAACAGCAAAAGAGTCCTACCAGGTCAAAAAAGCCAAAATGATTTTGAATCTGTCCATTGTTGTTTGTAAACTATAGTTTATAGCTCAATGTAATTTTTAATCTAGATAACAAGTGATGGTTAACAAAACTGAGATGTATGCCACCTATCACTGCTTTATCACGTAGCACATATAATACAATCAATATTGATTTTAAGACTAATACTAATTTAATGAATAATATATAGAGCATTTAAATTTACTTCACTCTTTTTTTTGTACATCTGATTCTATATTGGATTTAAGTACTTCTTTTAAAGGCTGATTTGTATAGCTACCAAAGCTGGACTGCCACACTCAGTTCTAACCCTAAGTGGCAACAGAGAGCTATGGGAAAACGTTTCTTTTCTGCTGCCCTCTAGCAATCATTTAGATGGTTGCAGGCTAGATCACAACCATTGTATAATATGAACACCTTTGTTTTTGTGTACTCACTTGTGTAATACTGCCAGAAGCCCAGACATGGTTGTCCTTCAACATGATGAGGCTTCCCAGATCATAGCGGTGACAGGAGGCTCCCCCAACTAGAAGTGCATATTTTTCTGGGAGACGGAACCCCGGTGTGGTCTTCCTTGTCCCAGCGACCTCTCCATGCCATCCGGCTTCCTGTGCTGCCCGACAAGCTTTTGCTGCTGATGTGGCAACACCACTACAGCGCCCAATACAGTTCAAAGCTACTCGCTCGCCCAGCAAGAGGTCATTGGCACGACCATGGACTTCAGCTACTCGGGTGATGGGTTCAACCCAGGTTCCTTCGGTTTGGAGCCACTCCACTGAGCAGCCAACTTCAGCAAAGATAGCTTTGAAGAATGGAAAACCAGCTAAGACTCCAGGGGATTTGCAGAAGAGCACAGCAGATACCTGATGGTTTCCCACAGCATAGCCACCATAGTCAAAGCTGGGAGCATCTTCTTGCANTTTTCCCTCCATGCTTATAATGCTCATAAAGTGGCAAAATGGGGATTTTGAATATGAGTACCAAAGCAAAAAGATTGATGGATCTTGGCTTCGCAAAGGTTGCCACAATTTTAAGGAAGAGAAAGCCACTGCGGGGATTCTTCAGAGAATTAGATTCGAGTCTTTCTAAAATTTCGGGCTCATTCATTGTGTCTGGAAGAAAATTCCAGGAAGCCTTCAGCTACGCCTGGTTGTGATTTGCCCCGGAAAGTGTGTAATACTGCTGAGGAATGCAATAGATTATAGGAGGTGAGATGTGATGAAGATAGAAAGTACCAATAGAAATAGAAATTTGGGTGAGTAAATGCGAGGTTGGCCAACTCAGAGATTGGACATAGTACAGATGCATAACAACTCTGGGAAAATAATGGAGTGGAAGACGAGACCAATGCTGATGTTGCTGGCCACAATAACTTTGACAAATGACAATGGAACAACTAATTCTTTTTTTTTTAAAGATTTATTTGGCCAGCTTAGTGAAATTGATTACAGCAGACATGCAAGGCACAGATTAGAGAAAGTAGGAAGGAAATTACATACATTTTATTGCTGTTAAAAATCACATATGTTGAAGAAGTTACAAAACCCAGCTGCCCCCCTTTCAGCCCTGATGCTGTTTCTGTTCCAATCATCCTGTGAAAGAAAACAATCTTTTAAAAAATGCCTAGGGAGGTTTTACCAGGCAAACTCTGTACAAGAAATTTCCTGTCTTCCAGAAGTTTTAGAGTATAACTTCCATCATCTTAGATCAGCACAGTTAATAAGCAGCAGATACAACTCAGCCTCTGTTACCTCTTCAATTACCCAACTCCCAAATATTCTAATGGGACTGGTTGGCTGTCCCATCTCAGCTCAGAAAACGAAATTGCGTAGTGACGGCTTGGGAGTCTGATCCCGGCTGATTTTGAGGGAGAAATCTACCACTTTGGATGACTGGGTGAGGCAACCCAGGGAGATCACATCAATATTGGGACCCACAAAGCGTGCCACATTCTCCTCAGTGATTCCGCCACTAGCTTCGATCGTGACACGGGGGAAGGAGGCCTTTACAGTACTAGCTGTAGGATGCAAGTCCTGCAGAAGATGATAAGAGAGATAAGCAGAAGGATGAGGGAAACCAAACTTTTCCAGTCTTATGATGATGATACCTGTCAGAGTTATGAATATATATGGAATATGAGGTCCAAATTGGGAGCAAGCCAAGTGAGGGAATGGTCCCACATGAGACATTTTTTTGTTAATGCTCACAGTATGTAATATGGGGTCCTGAAGGTCTCTCCAGAAGCAGAACCTTCACAAATCATGTTTTGTTCAAGGGTGGAAGATACCCACGTCAAAGCTTTGTCCACGTTGGAAGTGTGACCAGCTTTACTGTAAACATGTTTGTATGCCATGTTTCACTATGTAAACCCCTTCAAAGAACTTCTGTCATGTGTAGTGACACATACATAATCTAAATAAATAATACAATTAAACCAAACCCTGCAGCAACCTAATTCCTGTCTCCAGGAAACAGCAGCTGGTTGTAATTTGGGGAAAACAAAGATTTTTGAGCCTGAAGGCTTTTAGAGAAGCCCTCTTAACAACCTTGAAACTCTATTTTAGCTTCCAAGTGTCAATATTTCAACCGAAATCAATCCGAAAGAAACAAGCCATTGTTTTGTTTTTGTTTTTTAAATCAGTCATAAATTTTAGTTTCTAGATCTACCCCATCTTCTCTCAGCCAAATACCTCAGGAGCAAAGTTGTCCAGCATGACAATNGGTAAAATTATCAAAGGCTGACTGGTCCGCGGCGATAAAAAGGTTGGGGACCACTGCACTAACAGATCTTCTTTCTTTCATTCTACATGGTTGTTATACAATACATTAATCCAAAATAAATAAAAGTATAGCTTATTGTGATACGCAAATCCAGCTGGATTTGTGTATCACAATAAGCTAAAATTGTGTATTGTATTGTATGAATCTAGCTCTTGAAATTGAGTAAACACAATTTGTGCCTTGATGTTGCATGCATCTAGCCGAAGATGATTCTTTAAAGGCTGTCTTAGCATGATAGCCAGCTTTGTCAACAATACTGAATTACTGTATTTTTTCACTGATTTGTTTCTTGAGCTTTTGCTGTTATGATGTGGTGTTTGGAATCAAAGCTGTATCCAGTTTGCATCACTGATGGCCAGAAGGGCTTTGCATAAAATCGTGGGAAGAGACAGGG